TTTTTTTAACCCCATTCCCAATAACCCAGCATTTTCACAAACTCTGCCACCCTGCGGTCCACATTAGGCCGAATTTTCGAGGCTCTACTGTATCAAATTTTTTACATAGCCAAATCAATATAGCTGATCTTATTTAAATATTTTAGAATGCAAGTTTGATGATATTCATAAAATACTTTATGTTATAAACAGTGCAAATATGAAATGTAATTTCTAAAACACCAAATTGTTTATTGTAATTTCAAAAAATATTTTTTTCTATTATATAACTGATTAAAAAAATAATCAGACAAATCAATAATATACTGCTCAGAACAGAATACAGTGGTGCCTCATACTTCAAATTCAATTCATTCCATTCTAAGAGGCTGTTTGTAGCCCTATTCAATTTTTCCCATTAGAAGTAATGGAAAGTGAATTAATCCCCATTTCCATAAAGTTAAAACAGCAAATTTAAGGTAAAAATAACACAGTTAATTTCCTAATGATAAATTAAAACATGAAAACAGTAAATAAAATATGTAAGTACTATACAATAAATAAAATTGCATTTACTGGTCCGTCAGATCCGCCATACATGTATCACTTTCCTGCTTTGCAATAAGTTCCCATTTCAGATCAGTCATCAATATTACAACCTTTCTCTTAGACGCCATGATTAATAAGTAAAAGTTACATATCATTACTAATGTGGGTTTGTATTCTTTGTTTAGAAACTTAATTTTTTATTCAAACAAAATGTGAATTAAAATAAGTTTATATCTTCAGATAAAAAGCTTATCAGGCATATAATGCTACACAAACAGTAAAAAAAAAATTTGTAATGTGTAAAAAGATTCCTGAACAGAACTTAAGGATACAAAACATATGGGGCATCCAAAAGCTGTTGAAGAAAAATTGCAGGAAGAAATTGTTAAAAATTGATAAATAACACAATATATATAACCAAACATATGAATGTTACACAAGAGTGAGAGATGACTTGGGCATACAACATATTGTCTTTACATTTTGACTGCCTTTTTTTTGCTGCATGCACAATGTGAACTTTAAAGCAAATTTTTGTTCAAGTTAGTCATTTGAAGTACAAGGTACTATTATATTAGAATAACAAGTTAATATTGCAATTTATTGTATTATTTAAATAAAATTTCATTGATAAAAAACTAAAATATTATTTGTTTTCAGGTAGTTCTTGCAAGGGAGATAGGAATACCTTATGCATTAATAGCAATGGCTACTGACTATGACTGTTGGTATAGCAGAAGTGAAGCGGTAAATATTTTTGTAATTGTATTTTAATCATTTCTCTGCTATTCTGTAAGAAATTTCTTTGGTAGAATTTAAATTTTCTCTAATATCTTATATATAATTTGAATTTAATACATTCCTACAT